GCCTCATCTGAATAACAAATCAGCTCCGGAGTACTTTCTCAAACAGAAACGAAGAAAAAAAGAAAAAGGGGGGAAAACTGACTTCCTCTTTATTTTCAGGTTAACCATATCCCTAAATCCAGGAGTAAAGATGGTAAGAAAGCTGGAGGGGGTAAAAAAGGTCCTGTCAAAAGCGCCAGTGCCTGTGTGAAAGTACCCGGTTTTCTTAATTCATCCCTTAGGACCGGATAAGTCTATCAATCTGTTAAATTGGAAAGCCATTAGGTGCCCTGGTTTATGTGTTTCAAGCTGTTAACTAGAGGCTGATTGATTGTTGTTCCTTTGATGGGATATGCTGATCTAATCTCACTGTGTGCACGTTTGCAATAAATTACACAATTCATTTCCCCCATTTGGAGGAGGGGGAGAATCACACCTCCAGGCATGCCTACGCTCTGCAGGCAAAAGAGCAGGGAACCTTTTTTATGGTGCCATTTAACCAGCAAGCTTTCAGCAATCCCAGCCTTCCTTCTAAAAACCCCTCCCTCGCCTTCTATCCCTCCAAAAAATCGAAGCATAATCAAGGTGTATGTTTAGAAAATTTATTGTTATAATTTCCCCCCATAATCTCTTCCATTTTCCTGCAGCCGTGCTGACATAGATCATCATCTAAAAAGAGAAAATGGATAGCAGTTTAAAATTTATCGGTCTTTGATTCTCAATTATACGTGTTTATGACTTCATCTGTCTTCGGTGACTTCAACCTTTTCCATTATGGTGGAATATTATTTGTACGGAATCCATTAAATTCACAAGGCAGGACTCTAATGGTGGGGCTGCAGCGATTTGCAGAGGGAAAAGTTTTGAAAGGTTAGCTTTAGGAAAAGCACGGCTGTTATGACACAAGAAATTGCTTTATTGATGGTCTGCTCTGCTGCCTGTGCATTTGGCCATTTGTTACCCGGCCCGTATCTATATCTCAGGCTGACACTGATGAGAACTTTTCTGTTGCCCTCTCCAGATTACCCAGTTGTAATGACACATACAGGCAGGCCAGGTAAAGAGGTGACGATCGCCAGCTTTTTTTTTTTTTTTGGAGAGGGTGGATGTTGAGGCTGGGCGCCCGGCGGGCTCAGAGGAAGCTGCTCGTAATAGAGAAAAAGGGCTACATCGCTCCCACGACTGCTTCCATCCAAACCTTACAGAGGTCATCATCTCTGCTGAGAAACAATAAAGTAAGAGAAGGACTCGTAAAATGTGGATAAAATGAGAGCAAGAGAGATTTTTAAAAAGGAGAATACACCTTTCCATATCTGCTCATAGCGCCGAAGCTAACATTGTTTCTTAAAGGGACACCGAGTGAAAATTACACCCCTTTTGGAATTAAAGTAAATTTGAAAGAGCAACTGTCCTTCTGCTCCTTAGACATATTTGGCTTCCTGTTTACACGGGAAGTAACAATATTCCCTCTAGTCAAGTGCTCCAACCTGAATGACCTCGAGCTCCTTCGACTGGCCGGTGCAAGACGCCGATTAAAAGCTAACCAGGCCGTAATTCAAGATGCGCTTGGCTAACCTACGATCAATACTCGCACAATCCCAATTAAAGCTCGCTGGGTCAGTGGAGGGCCACCAATTCCTTTACAAGTTAAATGCAATACTTAAATCTAAAGCAATCTCAGTGTGGCCTTCAATGGTTTAATGGATCGTGCCAACCGGAGTGTCCAGTTAAAAGTGCAAGAGGTACACAGAGTCCTGCAGAGATTAAAGTCTGCCCTCCCGAATGATACCTTCACACTTTTAAGTATCATTTTAAAATAGTTGTACCTGTGCTGGAGTGTTGTAGTTAAAGTAGATCAACTCAACTACAACACTGTGATTTCAGGAAAAACAATCTGATGCCAATGAGTTTGAGACTTTGAGTACTTTTATCAAAAGATACTTACTTTTATTTGTTGTGGAGTATTTCTTCTTTCATCTCATTAACCGATCTGAATACCTGCTCTACGAGTTCTCAGAACACGGGTCCACCATCAACACCGCCACACCATCTTTTTCCCCAATTTTCCTTCCAGTTTTCCCCCTCTGAACGTTAGCTGTTGCGTCCGTGTCTTTTATCACAATTTTGACCCACAGAAAGGAATTCTCTCAAGATATCAAAACAAAAATCTATATTTAATATGGGAGCAATTACAAAGCGAAGTTGGCTGCACAGGGCCATTGTCACCAGAGCGAGTGTTTTTCATCAAATAGGTCATTAGACGATGATGGATGTAAACCTATAAAGTATCTAAACTGGACCTTTTAACAAACCACGAGCAACACTATCATTTCTCTAATAGAACCTGCTGACCGTGTCATTCCCTCCTGCCATTTGTCATTTTTCCTTGTGAAATAATCAATATCTTGGCGCTTTGAAATAAATAATATAAAAGTCACAGTAACCTACCCGAGGAGCAACAAAAACAGACTTATGGAGCATTCAGAAAGCCCATGTGGCCTCTGGACAAAGTCTACTGTATGTTTCTAATCAATGCATAACATGAGCTACGTTTTAGTACAGCACCTTTGCACTGTTCATTTTCAAGGTTTGCATATGTTGGGATCTTTTTATCTGCTGTTATAGTGGTAAAGCACTGTGGTAAATTTAAATTCGTGGCGTTACTAGGCCCTTTAACAATCTCTATTGGACTATTCAAAGCACAACCTGGGAATCAGGCCAATGTGATAACAACCTATGAGAGTCACTTTTGTACAATGGTAAAAATAATAATAGAGCGCCTCGTAGTGATATCCACTGAAGAGCTCCTAAATTAATATAATAATGTAATGTAATATATTTATTCTTTTCATGATCACCATCAGCTGGTCTGAATGTTTAATATCTGTAATGTCTTCCCCGTCGTTTTGACAACAAGAACATTTATTTTGTCGGTAAATGGTGGAAGATGTGATGTGGGTTAATCACAAGCCTTGTTGCTGCTTCACTGACAAATATCTAGCCTTGTTTATTTGGGATTAGTTTTGTGCAGAAGGTATCGCGGATTTGAATACTGTGTATATCGTGAACTGCATGTGTTTACGAGAATGTAAATATGACAGCTTCAAGTCATGACATACGCAATGTGTATACGTTTAACTTAAATACAAGGATTATTTCAAATGTCTGCGGTCAAACATTGGACACTTGTGGAAGAACTATCAGATATGTAAGATTTCTAATTTCTCAATTTTGTTCAGGAAGTTTTTAAATTAATATTTTTTTGAACTGTTATTAAAAACTTCCTCAGGGTTAGGAGTTTCTTCTCTGTTGTGAAGAATCTACCAAAATATGTAGCAAAATGGTTTGAGTAACTTCCCAGCGTAAATAGAGCTCTGGTGGCCCTGCTGCAATACAATAATATAAAATTAAATTTTTCAGACCTTCTTTCTAAATAGCGGCCCATTGTCAAATAGCACCTGAGGCATGTTGAAATAATGGGAATTCTTTGGATTTAGTTCTAATAAAAACAACCATTTTGCATCTCGGCCGCAGAGCGCCATCAAATACCTGTGATGATCACCATGGAAAGGTGGTAATTACATCACAGAGACGGGATACTTCTTGAGCAGCTCACTAAATGAATAACACGTGTTAATTAAACCACGGCCATACCGGTGCTTGTAAGAACCCTACAGATATGTGGGGGGGGGGGGGGGGGGGGGTCGGGACATTGTGGCATCCAATGCAACCTTTACCTTTCAACTGACACCCTCTATTATGGCTGCATATCACATAATGAATGTCTTTAGGGAACTGAACTGATGATGATGATGATGATGATGATGATTCAATACTGAAATGACTACATCTCCCTTGGCTCACGCATGCTCTAGAGGACAAATGTATTAGTCAGATGGCACACAAACTTTTTAGTCCATTTGGAGGACAATGCATGAACTTGCATGAATTTCTTGTAGTCCTACATGCCAACCTGCAACCCTATAACTAAATCTACAGTATATACCTTGACACTTAGTAGTTAACCTTATGGGGACCAGATTTAAGATGAGTCCCCATCATGTGACAGTGTGATGAATACTTTCGTCCTCACAAAGTGGTAAATGTAAGCACCTAACACACACAGTCTTTACGCTTGCATTTCCTCCCCTGGACCGACAGAGGGCGCTGTCTCCCAGTCTTTCCGCAACACCAGCTGCCGACCAACGGACTACTTTTTTAACAAGTCAATTAATATCAATGAGTGAATATACATAGCACACTTACAAAGAGTGCAATCTGAGGGATAAATTAAGCGAATCGATTAGGGGGGAATAAATGACTGTGCGACCAGCAGACATTGTGGAAGTGGCCCTCGCTGAAAATCAATGAATTAGAAATATGAATCTAATCGCCCATTGGTGACACGTGGAGGAGCTGGTGCCTGATCTCAGGCCTCTTTCATACCGTGTTAGAAGTATTCTGACGTTGGGGTTATTCGACTATACATACAACTTTATCTGCAATGTTGTTTTGGACATGCGGATGGAGGATGGATGTTACAACGCTTACCTGTTCGTCTCACAATTTCAGTTTAATTCCCATACGGGATGAATACTATTATTATTATTATTATTATTATTTAATTTATTTAAATAACAGCTACTTAGGTTTTGATGAACATAAAAAAATATATATCTTAATTATATTGATACATATCTGAATTTAAAAAATCTGAAAGACACCTGCAGCTTGGTTTAAAGTGGTTTATTAATGAAACCCGTATCAATAAATATAAAAACACTGGACTACAAATATAACCTTGTTCAGTCGATCAGTGTCTGACTGGATGAGGCGCTTCTCCCAAACCTTCCTTTTTGGCGCTAACAGCCTTGTGTTGATTTGCTGCCTAATTGGACTGAATGAGACCAATATCAGGCGAGTGCTTACAGCCTGCAGCCAGAGCGCACAGAGGGAGGACGGTCTCTCCCTCCCTCCCTCCCTCTCTCTCTGCCTCTCTCTCTCTCCTTCTCTCTCTCTCTCCTCCACCGTCTCTCCCTTAATCCCATTTGCCATTGTACATGCCCAATCGCCTATACTTTCCGCATTTAACTTGGATGACACTTTTATTTCATCATTAGCAACAGCCTGACTGACACGGTGGACACAGTTTGCGTTTTGACGAAAGAGCCCGGAATGACACATCTTCATGCTTATGCATCTTTCATTTACTTTTTTTTTTTTTTTTTTTTGTTAGCGCTCAAACCTTTTATTTGATTACTTCTTCAGTCTAGAAGGACGCGTGTTTTGACGCGCTCTGCGGGTGTTAAATCAACGAGAAGAGTAAAAGAGGAACTGGGAAGCCAGTACACCGACTGCGTGTAAGTGAGCCTTGCCTTTTCTTTTTTCTTCTCTCTTTTAATTCCTGCTTCCGTGGTCCTTCTGCGTTCAGACCGCAAACACAGCGATGCCAGAGACAACGCAAGAGACGTGCGCTTCGGCCAAGGACTCTCCTTTCTTCATCAAGAACCTGCTGAACTGCGATAGCAAACCGTCCAAACCGAAGCCCGTTCTGGCCGCAACCAAGGCGGCTTTGGAGGGAGGATTTTCATTTTCCCAGGTGGGGGAATTCAGCTTTCCGCGCTTCGACCTGCCCGCGCAGAGATTCAGTCTACCGGCTCACTACCTGGAGCGCACCTCGGCGTGGTGGTACCCCTACGCCCTGAGCTCATCCTCCCACCTCCACAGAACCGAAGGTAAGACCGACAGACAGAACAAAAACGAGACTGTTTATCATAATAAACGCACGCGCGGATTGTCCAACTTTCTCTTCTGTATCGCACTCTTGAATCTGTTATTTTTCTAAATAAAAATCAATGTGAATTTCCGCACAACGACCCGTGTGCGTTTTGTGACACGTCATGTTGAGTCAGATACCAGACGCTGCACTCGGACCGTCCTCGTTAAATGGTGCGTTTTGGGTGATGGGACATAGGGGATGCCGTGTGTTCCGTCTTTACAGCACCGCAGTGGGAAAAAAAAACAATTTGACGACGTGTCCTCGATGGGGGGGGGGGGCTATTTTTTTAGTAATAGATCTAAAAAAAAAAAAAAAAAAAACACGGACACGCTGTGCATAAAATGAAGCAGACGTCTTCAAATCACCGGGTGAGGGTGACGATGCGCGGCGTGCTTTTGATTTGTCTGTTGGCGCCCACTGGGAACGTCTCACCCCACAGGCTCGGTCACCCACTTGCGTGTTCACATGGCTGTTCCCGTGATTTATTCAGGGTGGATTTAAAACGCGTGTGTCATGTAAAGAATAAATGGGCTTTTTTTTAAACGCGTTTAATTAGGACATCAATCTTTTTGTTGGAATTAAACAAAACAAATACAAGCATAACTATTTTAAATATTGTATTCCCTTAGTTTATTAAAGTGTTTTTAAAAAAAAGGGTATATAATTGTTTGAATATATTTAAACAAGGTGTCTATATGTACAAAATGTTTGTTTAGTTCCCCCCCTACAAAAAAGGCTGTGCAGTATCAACAGGCTGCAATAAAAGCCCAGACATTCCGAGCAGAGCCCCATGTGTTTATGACCCCGTCTCCCTGTGTCCCCATTTCAGTTATTGAAAAACTAGCAGCCAGGGACTCCTCTCCAACTTCGGGCACGGACAGAGACTCGCCGGACCTGGTTCTCAAATCCGAGCCCGACGTCAAAGATGACGACGACGAAGATGAACACAACAACAAAAGTGGCGACGAGATCATCCTGGAGGAGAGCGACACGGAGGAAGCCAAAAAGGACGACCTGGAGGAATGGAAGAAGAGGGACGACGACAAGAAGCCGTGCCGCAAGAAGAAGACGCGCACCGTGTTCTCCCGCAGCCAGGTGTTCCAGCTGGAGTCCACCTTCGACATGAAGCGCTACCTGAGCAGCTCGGAGCGAGCCGGCCTGGCCGCGTCCCTCCACCTGACCGAGACTCAGGTGAAGATCTGGTTCCAGAACCGGAGGAACAAGTGGAAGAGGCAGCTGGCCGCGGAGCTGGAGGCGGCCAACCTGAGCCACGCCGCGGCTCAGAGGATAGTCCGGGTGCCCATCCTCTACCACGAGAACTCGGTCTCGGAGAGCGGAGGCGCCGGTGCCAACGTGCCCGTGAGCCAGCCGCTGCTCACCTTCCCGCATCCCGGCGTCTACTACTCGCATCCCATCGTCACGTCCGTGCCGATGCTCAGACCAGTTTGAAAAAGAAGAAAAAAAAGCTGAGTCTTGCGGCACAACTTGGTGTAGATTTTCAAAGTCATCCAAAAAGTAAAAAGATTAAAAAAAAAAGACTTCATATTTTTGTACAAATGACTGAATGAAGGAAAAGAAAAACAGAGACACGCGGACGGGCCTACGTGGACCTTTTTTTGGCAGATACATTGTGTCATTTTTCCAAAAGTTGGCCGTTTACACGTGATCCGACAACTCAAATCCCATGTTTTATGTTATTATCACTGTTAAAATGATCTCAGACATATGTATTTATCACCTCAGGAGTCCATCTGGTTTACATGTGTGTATTTCTTACAGCACGACTCTTTCTGGACGGGCCAACTCCGCGACATTTCTTTTTTAAACTTGTTTACAAAAATTGGCGAAGCTGAACGCGCGGGCATATTTGCCGTCACAGAACGCGTTACACGACGACGTGCAATCCGCTAAAGGTGTGCCGTGAATTAATGCATCCAAACGGAAAACTTGGTTTGACATCGGTAGAATATTGGTGTGGTTTTGCTGTAATTTCCTTTTTTTTATTTTCTAAGCGCTTGACGGGGGACAATCAAAACACTATCAACTGTAAATTACCATGTGGCTTTATGTTGAGTTTTAGTGAGTCCCATGTTTTCTCTGAATGGACACAAGCACAAGTGTGAGCTGCCAATGTCGCTTAAACTACTGTGTGCTTTTGAACAGGAGCAGCAACAAAAAAAAAAGTCGACTACACTAGTGTAAAAAATATGTAAATGTATATATTTAATGAGGAACTGGGAGAGAGCTGCCAATTCTCATTTGTACAGTAAAAAAAAAACATTTTGATATTGTATTGCTGAACCATGTTGTGAAATAAATGGAGAATTCCTTACATTTTATAATGTTTGTTTGACCAGGTCTTTCTGTCTCCGTAATGATCGGAGGATATTGCATTAAACCATTTTAGAATATAATAAAATTGTATTTATTTTTTGTCACAACATTTTTGCGCCAAGGGAGGAAAATATTTAAATAAGTATGGAATTAATTCATTTTCTGATAGTAGATACACCTCGGTCCATCCATTCACATGCACAAATATACAGACGCTCGGGAAGGTTCAGGTTTCCTAATCGTGTTTTGCATTCTAAAAACAATATTTTAGCAAAAAAAGTAGGCTTGGTCCATTAGATGCATGATCGCCACGATCTTGCCAAAGTGATGGGTAATGCATTCACATCAGCTGTCTCTTAAACATCGTGTCTCTCTCTCCTTGTGTGCGTGCGCGCGCAGGTGTTTTAAGATGGAAGGATGTCAGAACCCACAGATCAAATAAACACTATGTTTATACTGCTAACTTAATCATCGTTAATTCATCTTTAAATTAATTTGTTTCAAATGTAAACACATGTTTATTGATGAACGTCATGTAACTTTATTTAACAACTTTATGTGCAAACGTTTCTCTTTACAAGGATCATTTTTAAATGATAATATTTAATCGGGGAGAAATGCAAATGGATTTTGGGGGATTGAACAAGGTGGACTATACTTTGTAGTACATGCGACCACAGGTGTCACTGACACTTGACACGCATGCTTTTGTCTGCAAGTTAAATTAACTATATGTTGTTAAAAACTACTGGTATGCAAACGATACGAATTGTGCATGTTTTCATGAAAACCCATACCTTTTCTTAAATAACGAAACAAAAACCCAAATTATTATTTCCCACTTGATTTCTTTCATGATTTGATGATGACAAATCAATGGACGTGAATAAAAGTGCACTGAAAATATGACTGATAAAAAAAATCGCAACAATTTTTCCTTTTAACAGAACGCAGGTTACAAGACAGTTTACAGACACACACACACACACACACACACACACACACACACACACACACACACACACACACACACACACACGCATAATATAAACGCTATGATAATCAATACATTTTGTGAAAGTACATTTGATAAATAAATGGTCAACAGGATGGAACGTTTTATTGAAATACTTCTTTCTTACACTTGAATCGAGAATCTCAGGTGAGAATCCAGGTGGACACTCAAAAACACACGTTTATTCCCTCTAGGCAGACAAACTATTCAGCACCTCAGTTTTCCACAATTCCTAAATAGATCTGACTACACTTGAATCTAAACATGGGAAACAATACGGTTATTTAAAAATTCTTCAAATAATGTGGCAAGTGTATTTCTCAGAACAACCTTTGCATCAAAGGTCATTTCCTGTTTTCATCAGTAGGCTAATACATGTTATTGGAAATGAATCATTCAGCTATAAACTGATATGATGATGACCTCATCAAGAGACAAAGGGTTCATTCAAATGTCGTCAGATCACCCAAAGCATTGATGTACACACCTACCGCGCGCACTCAACACGGCCCCATTACCGCAAATTAATAGATTGCCCTGCCATTGTTCCTCTGGCACATATCGATCCGTGAACGTCTGCATCGTCATATACTGCGTCGAGTAAGAGCAACGTCCACGCGCCGCTGCGACTCAGCTTATGACCTTGATTTGCGCGCATAAATTGAAAAATTACCACTCGATAATTTCCATTTGTGGGACATCTGCATGTAAAGGAGCAGACCAGATAGAGTACATTTGCAGCAGCGAGATGAGAGAGGAGGGGGGGTACGGAAGTGGCCGGGGACTCCGCTCATGTATTACATTAAAATTGAGCGCTTGATCGGCTCATTTTAAGGCCCAGTGCCAGTTTGAAAACCAACCGGTCACCTTGTGTGAAGCTTCTTTCCTGCAGCAGCATCTGCTCACGCGTGTGTGTGTTTGTGTGTATGTGTGTGTGTGTGTGTGTGTGTGTGTGTGTGTTGGACTGTTAAAGTTAGTTGTATCGTGAGGAGGCAATGGCTGCATGCATAGGATATCAAACAAAGCATTTAGCGAAATTGGCTCTTTCGTGGCCGAGGCCTACAGAACCGTTCCTGGCAGTGGTTCCTGAAGGGTTGGCAATGGGACAGAATGCAAGCGGATTGCATATTTCATATTGCAGGGGTTGCCATTGTACACACAACGTTATTCTCACGAATTCAGTTATTTCAAACATATTAAACACAAGATACCCTCTAGAATGACTCTCGTGGTCCGAATGTGAATAATCGTATTCACCTCAAACGCACCTCCCGCGTTGGTCCCGCGCGCCAACGACACAAACTAATGAATTTCCGCAATTTGGCCAAAGCGGAAGTGATCGGAGGCGTCGGAGCTCGTGTGTTTGAAGGACTCGTTTGACACTTTTCGAAGAGGAACTCTTGTTCAAACCCATCCCATTCGCTTTGCTGATTGAATGCGGGCATCCGATTTTCATCAAAGTTCTATTAAGTGAAACATAGGTTGCGGGGCACCGTCTGATTGGAACAGTTTAAATTTTAATTGTGTTTTTAATTTGACATATAGTTGCTGTGAAGAATGACACCGAAACGCCAAGGGGCGGTCGATTTTCTTAATTTCTCCCCGAGGAATTGATGAGTCTATCAGGGCAGTAGATTGGAAAGCCATTAAAAGTCAACGGTTAGGTTGTTAATTGGAACTTGATGGATAGGAGCCCGTGGATAGGCTGTACTGATCCAATCTTCCTGACTTTGTGTTTTCCAATAAATTACCCAGTTCATTTCCACACTCAGATTACATAAATTGTACACCTCCAGGGCTCGGGGGCTCTGCTTGCGTTTACATCTCTCTCTCTCTCCCTCGCCCTCTCTCTCGCTCTCTCTCTCACACACACACACGCATGCACACACACGCACACAAAAACACCCACACGAATGTGCGCGTACAGACATGCGCAAACGCCTCCTGAAAAAAGAGCAGCCCTCGCTTTCTTGAATGAAAATCGAAACGTAATCAACGTTTATACTTAGAAAATTTATTGATATCATTTTCTCTGGTAATTTCCTTATTCTAGAGTTGGACACGCCATATATCATAATACACACGTGTAAAGGGTCTTTGTTTAATATTTATCGAGGCTTGATTCCCGGATCAAAGCGCCTCATAACTTCATCTGTCTTTCTCAGACCTTTCTCTCCTGCTAAAGATCGTTTCGGTATATCGCAGAATGGGGGGGCGGTGCCCACCTTTCATTGTAACGAGCCAGGACTTCAGGCTCTTGCGTACTTTTAGAGCCTCGTAAAACGCGAAAACCGCGCCTGAACACCAGGGGAACAGCGCGATTGGACACTTCCCTCACTAATACACCGCTCCGGCCCGCAACCCACCAACGCAAACTCCGGCGCACAAAAGCAGCAGCCGCGTGCGTGACTCGCTCTGTGCAGCCTGTCACGTGCACTGCCTATAAAGAACTAATCTCACTTTGCGAAAAGTCGTCTTGGTGCGTTTAAGGGCGGCTCCGCTGACAAAGGTCTTTGTTCGAAAAGAGCGGCATGTAAAAATAAACCCCATTTAACCGTCATTGCAGATTTCACGCCTTATGTGTAACCACCATAAATCCAGCATCCGCCTTGACTCCCCTCATATATATACTTCCCCCCCCCCCCTTCGGTAAAGCCTCCCCTGCGAAAGCGTTTTGTTAAGATCGTTTAGCAGCTGCTGGCCGCCCGCTGCCAGTTGACGATATTTACGCGTGGATCCAGATGCTTCTGTCTGGCTGATGATGATGATGATGATGCTGGTGGTGATGATGGTGACGGCAGGATCCGTTGTGAACATCATGTACTCGCCCAGCATCATTATCAGTGGCCGTGGCCGACGTCTTGTGAATGTTCCAGCCATGCCTTATACACCGAATGCCGGTTGCGTGGCTACTTGGAAGGGCGCTGACATGATGATTAAAGCTGACCATTTGTAATGTGTCTGAGGCTGCCTTACAAAGCAGTAAAAGAGGGATAATGTGCCCGAACGGCCAGCTCAAGCCCCGCAGCTGTCCAGCAGCCAGACACAACCAGAGAGAGAGAGAGAGAGAGAGAGAGGGGGGGGGAGGGAGACATCACACAAATAGAGCATGGGTGGTGGGAGGGCGGTGGTATAGTGGAAAGCGCACACTCACACGCACACACACATACGCACGCGTGCACTCAAGCCCCCACCACCTTCCAATCAATTAGTCAATCAATTAGCCGGCCCCTACTCCACTCGCGGCCATCACGATGCAGATTAGCACAGTAATGATCAAATGAATTCTTAATCGCTGATAATGGACGCGGAATGAGTTTATTATTTTCGGTAAAAATGAGTTGGGCCTTTGCATTAGTTAAACTGCACGCGTTGTAACCGCAACCACCCAGTGAGCATTTTTTGGTTGAAAAGACGTTTAAAAGACGTCTATGCCCGACGTTGAAAAGACGTTGCAAAATGGTTTAAAAGTGAAAGTTGTTTCAACGTCTATTCGTAGACGTTGAAAAGACGTCTATGTTTAGACCACATTTCAACGTGATTTTTTAATACGGTAATATTTCGTCCTCTCTTGTGTGCTATCTCATTATTTTAGAGGTTTAAAAAGAAACTACGTCCACATTTGTAAGTTTCCCACCGATATTATAAATCACGTTGAAAACGGGTCTATACGCGAACGTCTTTTCAACGTCTACGAATAGACGTTGAAACAACTTTCACTTTTAAACCATTTTGCAACGTCTTTTCAACGTCGGGCATAGACGTCTTTTAAATGTCTTTTCAACGTTGAAATGCTCGCTGGTTGAAATGTGGTCTAAACGTAAACGTCTTTTCAACGTCTATGAATAGACGTTGAAACAACTTTCACTTTTGAACCAATTTGCAACCTCTTTTCAACGTCGGGCCATAGACGTCTTTTAAACGTTGTTTCAACGGATAAATTGCTCGCTGGAAACGTACAAGTTACATACTTAGTCACAGTTGTCATGT